ACGCCTTCTCAGAGAAACAAGGTGAGGCAGTCTGTAATGAGTAACAGGAATGGGACTTGGGCTTAATGGTTTTCACTAAAATGCATAGGGGATAGTAAAAAGTGAAGTAAAAAAGAAAGAAGAAAAGGATGAAAAAAGCAATGGACCTGCTAATGTTAAAATGAATCTGGAGTAGATCCCATCAACCTAGTTTCCAGCCTCTTTCCATTAATTCTGAATGTCAGGCTTGTGGGGGAGAAGATCATGGGACTGTCAGATCCTGACAACTAGGATGGCAGGGGACAAGGGAAGGCCAAAGGAATGGGGAGCCAAGTGTCAAGTGGCTGGTTCTTCCAAATCATTCCATTAAGAGCTTGACTGTTTATACACATTTGCCAAGAGATATAAGGATTGATCCTGTCTTATCTCAAACCTTGGTATACAGTGGTACCACTTCCCAAAAACATGTGAGTTTGAGAACTGAGTTCTCTCATTTTTAATGTTTAGTGGAGTCCCCTAGAGATTGTGACTCCCATTAAATATAACTTGCCTTCTTTAACAGAGGGTTTTAGGGAACCACATATATCTCTAATGCTCTTACCTGTAAATCTGAATCTCAATTCGACAATGGTATCTTTACATTTGAACAAATTTGAACACAGAATCTCTGTATTTACATAGGGTATTATACTTAAGTATTCCCCTCTTCCTTTTAAACAAAATAATTTAGTCTTACAAACAGTTTTAAAAGTGACAAGTATAAAAACACCCTCTTCAAACTATTCAAGGTCAATGTCTACACCTACACCACAAATCTAAGATATTGTTACTGTTCAGTAATCCTCTCTAACCTTCCTGCCCAGCTCTCCTCAACCCCATCCATACTCTGCCTCACCAGTTTCAGAATCAGGAGTGAAATCTACAGTGGAAATTGAAACACAGAATGATTCTTTATTTCCAAAGTGAAATTTATGTTAGAATTACATTTTGTTAGTAGAAACTGCCCTCAGAAATCTACTGTTGTTGTTTAACTATAGTCCCTGTCCACTGGTTTATCCTGTCCATTTTAAAGAATTTGAGAACAGTTCAGCACTTTGGCGTCTCCTCCCTTTTTTTTGCTGCTGCTGCCTATCGGGCATTTTCTTCTTATTCAGCTCATGAGTGGAAACCAGCAAGACAGTGAGCAACAGCTGCCCAGTGCCTCCTTTGCAGTGTCCTGGCCCACATCTGGCCAGGAGGCTCACTAGTGTGATGACAGTAAGGGTTTGAATTTTGCTATCATGTTGCTGATATCACCAAATTTTCAGGAGCTATCCAGATTTTCTTACTTTCTCCTTTTGATTTTAAAAGATCATTTTGAAAGTCTTTTCACATGAGCAAGGATAAATACAAATATCATAATCATGATCTTCATGACACACTATGTTAAGAGAACCCGCCATTTAAAAATGTCTCTTTGAAAGCAATCCAATTACAAAATGGGCAAAGAAGTTAAATAGACTTTTCTCTAAAGAAGATACACAAATGGCCAATAGGCACATGAAAAGACACTCAACATCACTAATCCTTAGGGAAATGCAAATTGAAACCACAAAGAGATACCAATTCATACCCATTAGAATGTCCACTACTAAAAACACACAAACCAAGAAACAAACCATTCCAGGAAATAATAAGTGTTGGTGAGGATCTGAATAAATTGGAACCACTTGCACACTGCTGTGGGAATGTGAAATGGTGTAGCCACTGGAGAACAGTATGGCCATACCTCAAAAAATTAAACATAGAATTACCCTATGATGCAGTAATTCCACTTCTGGAATTTCACTTCTCCAAAAAGAAGTGAAAACAGGGACTAGGACAGACATTTGTACACCCATATTCACAGCGGCATGATTCACAATAGCCAAAACATGGAAGCAATCCAAGTGTCCATCAACAGATGACTGGATAAACAAAATATGGTGTATATATACAATGCAATAGTATCCAGGCTAAAAAAGGAAATCTGACACATGCTACAAAATGGATGAACCTTGAAGACATTATGCTAAGTGAATTAATCCAGTTACAAGAAAACAAACACTGATTCTACTTTAAGAGATACCTAGAGTAGTAAAATGCATAAAGACAGATAGTAGACTGGTGGTTGCCAGGGGCTGGGGGGAGGACGGGAAGGGGAGTTAATGTTTAATGGTAGCAGAGTTTCAGTTTAGGAAGATGAAAAGATCTGGAGGTGGATGGTGGTGATGGTTGTACAACAATGTCAATATGTTTAATGCATTACATTTAAAAACGGTTAAAATGGGAAATTTTATGGTACATATATTTTACTATAATTAAACAAAAGTCTCCTGGAACCTTTGAAGTACTGGCAAAGATCAAGAATATGCTAACTTTTCCTTATGTCACACAGGAAGAAAAAGTATCCTCTGAGTACGTAATATGGACCAGGCGTACTCCCATATCCACAAACAAGAGCACAAAATAAAACACAACAAAACCAAACAACCCAAACTTTGCTTGTGTACTCTTAACCCCTTTTTCCAATGAAGAAACTAAATTCATAAGTGAATGTGCCAGATCAAGTAATAACAGCCAGTAGTAGGATTCAGAGGCAGAGCTGCTCTACTCTCAAAGCCAGTGTCCTTTACACTCCACAATGTTCTTTTCTTTTTCCCACAGCTGTCTCTTTGAACAGACTTCCTGCTTTGACTACAGAGCTTTTATACTTAAAAGTTGGGCCTGCCTTCTGAAAGGGGCTAAAAAAAGTCAGTCATCCAAATACAAGCACTACCTGCCCACCATAAGAGGCCCAGGGATACCCATGAAATAATGGAGTCATGTTTCCACTCAGCCATTGGCCATATGGCAGAAAAAAATATATATATATACAATTAAAATTTCACTGTTGGTCGACTCCTTCTAAAGCCACTGAATATCCTGGACAACAGGATTGTGTCTTTCAATATTCCGTATGTCTAGAATAAGTGGAAATAGTCTCATTTTACAGCATAGAAGCATTTACATCTTTTTCCTAAACCTTCTTCCATCATAATTACTGATCTCCAGTTACTAATGTTATGCTTCAACCTGGAATTTAACAATTAAGGAAATGTTTTGTGCAGTGCAGAAAACAGGCACCTCTTAGTTGTTTTCTCAAAGAGAGCAGAGGGCCCTCTTGACTCTCCTGTGCCTATGGGTCAAGGCTTCATCTTCTTACTCTTTTGTGAAACACATAGAGAAGAGTAGTGCAGATTGCCTACACAACCCTGAACAAAGCGGGGTGTTGGCAGTATCTAGTGAATACAGCCTGTGGGTGAGTAAGTACCAAGGCGTGAGCCCCATCCTCATTCGTCCTGCCCAGATGCCCAACTTTCTGCTTCATTTAATGACAGGCAGCTGGATCACAGATCTCCAGTTAGGGGCATTCTGGATCCAAGATATACCCTAGACCTCCTCTCCAGGAAGACTACCTTTACATACTTTACTTTAGGAGGCAAATGGAAGCAGAATTGTGCACGACGTGGCATGACTTGCTTTGCCCACATGTTTGATTAAATCAATGAATCTGTCAGGGGAGCTCCATGGTTTCGACGTTGGGAATATTCTCTGCCTCTTAAACATAGTACAAGCTTAATTTAGTAAGTAACCTCAGAAAAGTAGACATTTTTTTCCTTGAGTACCTGAAATTTCTTAATCTCTGAAAATGTGCTGCTACATCACAAATTTTGAAAAGCCAATCAATTTCATAGAGATGGCATTTAAAAAAAGCAAACCCTATAGCTCTCCACAATTGAGAATTGCGATAAATGAGGAGGTGATACACTTTCAATGGCATATTTGATGTTTAAAGCCTGTATTTTAAGAATTTGAGTGTCTAAATATGCCCTTTTTATTATTTTACCCTAATATAAGTAGTTCTTTCTTTCCTTTAGAGAATTTATCTCCTTTCATTCTAAAAAAACTCAAGAAAAAACCTTTTATCAATAACCATTTATTGCTTACTAACACTTTCTGTTGGAGACGGAGCTTAATTTTTAAATCATGTTATTAACCTCTTTCTCCTCCACATCCTGCCAAAGGAATCTCACAGTCTCAATTCTAATCTGTTAGACATATTCACTGCACATTTACATATCATTCATAAATATAAACAAGTCGTGGTCACAGACTCTCATTAAAGGATCCATTGCTCAAGGAAAATCAAAGAATAAAAACCATGTTCTGATTGCACTATTTGGTTCTATATACATTGCATACAGGTAAGAAAACAACCCAGTCCCACTTTTACATTTTGTTCCTCACTAAGCTTAATATTCATCTTGACCTAGAGATGAATAAATCTACATAAATATAAAATCCATATATACAGCAATATCTGATTCTGGACAAGGGAAACCTGCCACACTTCTCTGAGAAGAGATGCAACTTTAGGATAAGACCAACTGGTAAATGGTAGCTGCTTCTGAGATTATGAAAGCAGCTGCACAGAGCAGAGGGAGGAAGACACCAGTTTTTAATGGTAAATACTGCCCCTCACATACGCAATTCCAGCCTTTGTTGACAAACTGTGAATACAAAAGGATTTAACAACAAAAAAATCACCGTCACTATGCTTGCAAAACTGAAGACACACCAGTAAATATATAAGAAAGATAATGCAATGAACATCGTACACCACTTACACCCTTAAAACAAGGGGACTGCAACACTCAGATATTAGTCGACAGCTTTACAGCCCCAATTGATTTCAACTCAGCCCTGCTTTTCTTCTAGGAGAACTATGCAAACAGCTTCTTACATTTACTGCTTTCCAGACGAGTCACCAAAGCTAAACACTAATGATTTTTTTTTAAACAAATGTGTCACAAGTGTGGTCATTCTCAAAAGTCGTCTCAAAGAACCCATTCTAATCATTTCCCCTAAAGCTGAAACAATGTCCCTATCTTCCCTTCAAACCACAGGCGATGGTCATTTTTCTCACTTAAAAGGAGCAACATGAAACGCGTTTCCTTTACCTTAGCTCCCGAAGCTGGTCAGAGAAAAGTGGCTCTTCTCCTCCGTGCGGAGCCGCTGTGTGCAGGGGAGCCCCGCGCTGCCCGCCCAGCCCAGCCCAGCCCAGCCCAGCGCCGCGCAGCAGTAGTACGAGCTGCCCGCGGAGTGGCAGCCGCCGTGTGTGTGGCAGCGGCGCCTGCAGCCCCGGGACTAGTCCCCACCCAGCTTTGTCTTCAGTCATGTTCCTTCTACAGGAAGCAGCGCATCTCCCACTTCCTCCCCTTCTCGGAGCGCCTAGCTGCTCTCTTCTTCCCCTCTCATTCTATCTCAGGGCTCACTCTGGAGCTTTCAGCCCCTCCTGGACTGCAGACACTCCCGGGACCGGAATCCCTCTGCCCCTTTGTTCCAAGTCGCCTTGGTGCTGTCTGTCCCCTCCTTCCCCTTCTCACTCCCTCGCCTCACCTCCACAGCTCCCAGCAGCCTCCCCTTCCCCACACGCTGTCGGCTTTCTCAGCCTGAACCTGATTAATATTGCTTCCACTGTTATTTTTTAGTTCAACACACCCCCAGGCCAGGCTCTGGCCCTGAAAGCCAGCACCAGCCTCCACGGTTCCTCCTGCTTTACCATGGTCTCTATCAAGTCCGCTAGCTGGGAGCTTGCAGCTTTTTGCTGCAGTTTTTCTCTGTGGCCAGGATTCCTGAAACTTAATTTCTCCAAGGTCCCACTACCACTGAGATCTTACTTAACTCACATGGTCAGAAAAGAATGGCCCGGATAAGTATCCTTGCGGGGCACTGGAGCTAAACCAAGTCCGGCATTACTACCTGTAGCCTGACAGTGAAGACATATTCCCAAAGGATTCTCAGTGGTGGGAAGGAATGAGGTGGAGCTGAATGAGCTATATTCCCAGCCTGTAACTAGAACTTTCTTCCCCTCCCGCCACACACTGAGGCGGCAAGAACCCTCATGATCCTCTCCTCCTTTCCCTTCACTTCAGGAGGTGGTGTGGTGGTTGAGTAAGGGTGGAGACTGCAGGCTGTCTGTCCACCAGGGTATGAATCCAAGCTGTCATTACTGATTATATAAACTCGGGCAAATTATTTCTGGGTTCCTTGATTTACTCATCTGCAAAACAGAGATCATTATAGTCATAATCCACAGCAGAAATCTGAGGATTAAGTGAAATAGTACATAAAATGCTATTAATAGTTTCTGGAACATAGGAAGTGTTCAATACATATTAGCTCTCATTATTTTTAGAGGTTGTTGAAGCTCAGAGATGGCAAATGACTAGCAGCCAAACCAGGACCAGTACTTAGTTTCCAGGTTCCCCACAGTTACCCTGATGCTCGTGGTGACAGTTTATTCAGCTTGTGACTCATTCTCCCCCAGTACTAACACAAGGTGCTTTGGGGGAAGCTACAGATTAAACACAGGCTGGGGGAGGAGGAATCCCTTTTCAGTGTCCAGGCAATACTGTTAAGAAACCTCTCGTCAGGAATTAGTGCCTAGAAAACTGATCTTCCCAGGCAACAGTGTTAATTCCCTAAACCCTCCTTTTTAATTCTGTATTGCCTTAACCTCCAGCAAGTCTTCTTAAACCACCTTGGGGACCACAGCACAGTAGCCTGGAAGGTAGAGAATTTAATTCCTATGAAATATTCTGAGATAGTCCCAGGATATCCTGTGTCTTGATTTTATTTTCTATGGATAGAGTTTTCCTATTTCTTCCTGTACATCTTTTAGCAAAAGGACCCTGATGTCAACTCTCACTGACATCAGAAAATTGTAAAATGCATTGTTTTAAGATTTAAAATGAGGAACTACTTTTGAACCACCAGCAAAGAGAAATGAGGTAGTGGAAGAATATTGACAGGGATTCCCTTAGCCTCTGCAACCCAATGAAAATCAGACATGAATTACCTCCAACGCAGGAACCTTGGGATCAAAGGTTACCAGGAGCTTTTAAATAGAAATTAAATATATATGATGCCAAGTCTAAGAAAAATGAGAACATAATTATTAGTAATTGGGAAGATATGGAAACAAATTTTTTGTTAATTTTAGACTAGTAGATTCTGACTCTAATTCTGGATCCAAACAAGGTTGGTTTGTTTGTTCCTGCTCTCTTTCCCCTTCTCTCTTAACCATTATAGAGTGGTTGGTGTTTATCTTTACATCTGTATAAGAAAATTTCTTTCAGACAGTAAAATCTCCAGGAATTTGGCTGTTTCATCTCTGGCCCCTATAAAGTTCTCAGTAAGTTAAACTGGCCATTGCTGGGAGGTGCCAACCAACCTCTCTCACAGCTGAAAATGAGATTTTAAGACCTCTTTCTGTCAATAACCTCATTGCTTTCAATTGGTCCTAATAGCTTATTTTTTGGTAGAGAAAAGAAAAATATGGGGGTGTAAACTGGCTAAGAGATTAATCTAGTTCATCAGAGCTCTTAACATAAGCATGGTAAGTATGCATTGTTTGCAAAGTGTTCATTTCTTAGGAGATATAATTATACCTCACCATTAAAGGTTCATGCCATCAGGAACTAAACAGGGGTTTATTTTTATCAATGCATAAAACAAAAGCCCCTAAAATATTCTTAGCATTCATCAGTGGCCCTATATGTAGGCTTTGATACCTGGTATTTCTTACATCTGTCTGGAAGAGGAGGCTGATGGTGATAAAGAGACCATCATTTTGGCCTGCTATCTCTCTGTATTACTGAACATCCAAGCTGGATGTCCCTTGGAGTTCTTTTAACATTCTCTTAATTATATAAATTTCCTCCTCCAAAGCTTGTTCTCCTTTCTACATTCTCCATTTCGTTTAATGAGAAATACAAACTGGTTGTCCACAGCAGGAATATATGTATAACATTAAAACCATTTTTCTTTGTTACTCCAGATCAGATTTAAAGTTCCTCATTCTTTCATTCCCACTACCCAACTATCTCCTTGACCAAACCCCTCCTCTTTATTACCCTTGCCACTGTCTTATTATATAAATGCTTTGGTTCTCCCTAAATGACTGTAATACTCTCTACTCTGTCCCCCTATCCCCAGTCCCTCTTCTAAGTCATGTCCACTAGAAGAGCATTTCTAGAATGAACAGCTGATAATGCCACTGTCCAGCTATAATTTTTCAGTATTTCTCCCCAACCCCACTGCTTATAGGAGACAAGTCTTTATTCTTTTGCACAGCATACAACACCTTGGATAATGTCACCCAACTACACTCTAACTTCATTATCCAACCTTTTGCGAACCTACATCCACCCATTCCTCATTTACCTTCACAGCAGGTTTCCCACGGACCCATGCTCCTCTGCTTCTTGGCATATGCCCTTCCTTTTGCCAAAAATACTGTTATTCTTCTGTTTTGTCTGATGGCAACCCCTACTTATTATTTTAGACTCAGCTTCTCTCAGAAGGCTTCCCCAGTCACACAAGCAGACTGGGTGCTTCTTGCTCTGCAGTGCTACAATTTCATGGTGCCTTGCCTCTGTCTCCATTTCAGCACAACCTGCATTGTTTTAATGAGTTGTTATATGTCCACCTCCCTCATTAGTACCTGAGTCCCTTAAAAGTTAAGGCCATATTCTATTCATCTTTACTTGTCACATAGCAGGTAGTTAACAGATGTTTGTGTACTGAAAAGGCACCACTGGCAGAAATCCCAAAACTGCAGCTGCATTTCTTTAGCTGTTTGGGGAGGGGGGAAGGAAGGGAAGTCCGTGAAATGAGAAGTTGGTCATGGGATAAGAAACCATAATCCCTCAAGACAGTGAGCAACAGCTGCCCAGTGCCTCCTTTGCAGTGTCCTGGCCCACATCTGGCCAGGAGGCTCACTAGTGTGATGACAGTAAGGGTTTGAATTTTGCTATCATGTTGCTGATATCACCAAATTTTCAGGAGCTATCCAGATTTTCTTACTTTCTCCTTTTGATTTTAAAAGATCATTTTGAAAGTCTTTTCACATGAGCAAGGATAAATACAAATATCATAATCATGATCTTCATGACACACTATGTTAAGAGAACCCGCCATTTAAAAATGTCTCTTTGAAAGCAATCCAATTACAAAATGGGCAAAGAAGTTAAATAGACTTTTCTCTAAAGAAGATACACAAATGGCCAATAGGCACATGAAAAGACACTCAACATCACTAATCCTTAGGGAAATGCAAATTGAAACCACAAAGAGATACCAATTCATACCCATTAGAATGTCCACTACTAAAAACACACAAACCAAGAAACAAACCATTCCAGGAAATAATAAGTGTTGGTGAGGATCTGAATAAATTGGAACCACTTGCACACTGCTGTGGGAATGTGAAATGGTGTAGCCACTGGAGAACAGTATGGCCATACCTCAAAAAATTAAACATAGAATTACCCTATGATGCAGTAATTCCACTTCTGGAATTTCACTTCTCCAAAAAGAAGTGAAAACAGGGACTAGGACAGACATTTGTACACCCATATTCACAGCGGCATGATTCACAATAGCCAAAACATGGAAGCAATCCAAGTGTCCATCAACAGATGACTGGATAAACAAAATATGGTGTATATATACAATGCAATAGTATCCAGGCTAAAAAAGGAAATCTGACACATGCTACAAAATGGATGAACCTTGAAGACATTATGCTAAGTGAATTAATCCAGTTACAAGAAAACAAACACTGATTCTACTTTAAGAGATACCTAGAGTAGTAAAATGCATAAAGACAGATAGTAGACTGGTGGTTGCCAGGGGCTGGGGGGAGGACGGGAAGGGGAGTTAATGTTTAATGGTAGCAGAGTTTCAGTTTAGGAAGATGAAAAGATCTGGAGGTGGATGGTGGTGATGGTTGTACAACAATGTCAATATGTTTAATGCATTACATTTAAAAACGGTTAAAATGGGAAATTTTATGGTACATATATTTTACTATAATTAAACAAAAGTCTCCTGGAACCTTTGAAGTACTGGCAAAGATCAAGAATATGCTAACTTTTCCTTATGTCACACAGGAAGAAAAAGTATCCTCTGAGTACGTAATATGGACCAGGCGTACTCCCATATCCACAAACAAGAGCACAAAATAAAACACAACAAAACCAAACAACCCAAACTTTGCTTGTGTACTCTTAACCCCTTTTTCCAATGAAGAAACTAAATTCATAAGTGAATGTGCCAGATCAAGTAATAACAGCCAGTAGTAGGATTCAGAGGCAGAGCTGCTCTACTCTCAAAGCCAGTGTCCTTTACACTCCACAATGTTCTTTTCTTTTTCCCACAGCTGTCTCTTTGAACAGACTTCCTGCTTTGACTACAGAGCTTTTATACTTAAAAGTTGGGCCTGCCTTCTGAAAGGGGCTAAAAAAAGTCAGTCATCCAAATACAAGCACTACCTGCCCAC